ATTTTCTACCGCAATATATACTGTTACCGTGAAGGGATTAAATTTATACCGTGATATGAATTTGAGGTCATACCGTCCAGCCCTACTACCTATTTTAATTACTTAGTGTGGAATGTTAAAAAGTTTTGCTCAAGTCAAACAGCAAACACTAGTCAACAACTGTAGCTGATTTATTATTACCCAATGTCTTAATTGTTTTTCTTAAACATAAGAACATTCTACAAATAAATAAAGTAAATGAGAAAATAAGAGACACTGAAAAATTACCTAAAAAATCCTATAAAAACAAACTGTACTTTTAATGTGTAAAATAACAATTCAAGATCACTGAAGCTATATATTCTGGATCCAAGTGCTGCTGGATAGAAATCCTGGAATAGACTTCTGAAATGGTCTGCTTTATCTGAGATTTTAGCGACTTGATACCTGCAGGAAAATCAGGGTTATGTCCCTCCTCAGCCTCTCTGTTGCGTGTTAGACAGATCACAATATGAGCTAACAAAAATAAAACCCCTTTATGAGAAACCTTTTATATTTAGATTTGAAATAAAATGTTCTTTGTAAATGATATGTTGTTATTGTTAATTTATTTTCAACAATTGATTAATTTATTGCTTTAATGAACTTGTTTAATAACATGTCTCATAAAAATTTAGAGTATTCATTGCCAAAATAACTGAATGAAAATTATAAACTGTTTTGGAGGGAATTGATGTGACAAAGTGATGCCAAAATCTAGTTTAGTAACTCATTGTTTTTATTTTTTTATTTTTTTACAGGGGAGGACTCTAATTGCAGTAGGTCTTGGAGTAGCTGCTGCAGGATTTGCAGGTAATTTAATTCTCCGAGTAGAAATTTCATACAAAACCTGGCAAAAGTTATAGATTCACCACTCTTGGTAGATGTTCTTTCAATTGTTTCACTTTGTATGGCATAATAAATCACAGACGTGCCACACAAAAATATATTTTTAAATATTTTACAATTGTGGCATTAAGAAACTACAACTACATTATTAATTGTAGTAAGGCAGTTGTTTTTTTTTTATTTTTATTTCAGTGCTGGACAGTAATTGTATGTATGTATGTATGTATGTATGTATGTATGTATGTATGTGTGTGTGTGTGTGTGTGTGTGTGTGTGTGTGTGTGTGTGTGTGTGTGTGTGT